TGCTATACTGAATCCAGGAATCTCAATGCCATGGACCATCTGCTATGGTTTCAATGTTTGTTTTCCCCCAAACTCATCTGTTGAAATTCTAACTTCATGGTAATGGTATTTGGAAATGGGGCCTTGAAGATGTGCTTGGATCCTGAAGGTAGAGATTATACGCTCTTATAGAAGAAGCCCCAGAGAGCCCCTTCATTCTTCCCACCATGTGAGAACTCATTAAAGAGAAATCTGTATATCACTCAGGAATTTGGTCCTCACCAGACATCAAATATGTTGGCATTTTTTTGTCTCAGACTTCTAGCATCCAGAACCTGGAGAAATAGAAGTGTGCTTAAGCCATCCAGCCTATAGTATCTTGTTGGAGTCCCAAATGGACTAGGTATGTCCCATCACAGTGTCACAACCTATTTGGACACATTAAGCTAGTCTTAAGAAATCATGTGATTAAAGTTTCTTGTATATTCTGAATTTTAATCCTCTGTCAGAAAAATAACTAGCAAAGATTTTCTCCCATTCTATAGATTCTCTCTTCACATTCCTTGCAGTAGAATTTTTTTTAGGGGATTTAAAAAAAAATTCTAATCAGTTATATATGACATCAGAATACTCTTCGATTCATTGTATACAAATGGAGCACAATTTTTGATTTCTCTGGTTGTATGCAAAGTAGGGTCACACCATTTGCGCAATCACACATATACCTAGAGTAATGATGTCCATCTCATTCCACCATCTTTCCTATCCCCATGCCCCCTTCCTTTTGCCCCATCCAAAGTTCCTCCACTCATCCCATGTCCCCCCATTATGAATTACCCTCCCCATTATGGATTAGCATCCATTTAACACCAAAAAAATCAAATAACCCAATTAATAAATGGGCAAATGAATCAAACAGACACTTCTCAGAGGAAGAAATACAAATGGCCAATAAATACATGAAAAAATGTTCAACATCATTAGCAATTTGTGTAGCAAACTACACTGAGATTTCATCTCACCCCAGTCAGAATGACAGTCATCAAAAATACAAATAATATACGCTGGAGCGGATTTGGAGAAAAAGGAATACTGTCATGCTGCTAGTGGGACTGTAAATTAGTACAGCCACTGTGAAAATAAAATGACTAGGAAAGGAACCACCATATGACCCAGCTATACCACTCCTTGTTATTTATCCTCAAGATTTAAAGTCAGCATACTACAGTAAAACATGCCTACCTATGTTTGTGTATCAGCACAATTCACAGTAACCAAACTGTGGAACCACCCTAGGTGTCCATCAACCGGTGAATTAATCAAGAAAATATGTTATATGTGTGCCTCTGTGTGTGTGTGTGTGTGTGTGTGTGTGTGTGTGTGTATACACACATACACATACTGGGGACATATGGAGCCATCTAATGTGGACCTATAGCCACCCTGGCAACCAGCTTTACAGTTGCAGATACAGGGGGGATGCCTGAGTTTTATGTGTCTGGTCTGTTTCCTGTATGGGCATGAGAAAAAAATTCTCATGGGCTACTGGATGTTCAAATTCATCATGATAGCAGATTACTAAATATCTTTCAGGATTTGTGCCTTCCCAGCAAATTCCCTTCCTATCACACTCACAGACATATTTATCTGTAATCTTTGGCAGTGTGAAATTACTTGTTGAACACTCCATATGTCCCCAGCACTCTGTGTGCTCCTCCTTTAAATTCTGACAACCATCCTGGGCAGTGGCTGGGTTAGATCCAGGTCTGAGATTTACCGAGTAATTGTTGCCCTTGCTGACCTGAGTGCCAAGTTGCAGAAGTGGCATGTAAACCTAAGAAGCCAGACTATATGTTTTGGGTGTTCATCTCTTCATATTCCAATAATATGCTGAGGAAACAAGTCCTGGGTGAGTTTACTGTCTCAAAAATATGTGACTCCACACTCCAATCAGTTTTAGTTTCTGAGACCAAACATTTTAGTTTCACCAAACTCACCTCCATCTTACTCTACTGATCCCTTCAAGTTGGAGCTTTCTGTAAATTCTGTAAAGAACCCCAGCCCAGTTCCTGGCTCCTTCCCTGGTCCCACATGCCTATATGCTGTGCCAGGCCTTGCCAGTCACCCTGGGTTCTTCTATTCCTTACAACAGCAAGACCTCTTCCCAGGCAGGTGCTGCCCATGCAAACTGGTCAACCAGATGCCACCTACTCCCTTCCAGGGCTTCCCCAGGCTCCTGACCTTCCCCACACTCTGGCCCAGGGATTCAGGCTTCTCCAACCCACACCTCGGCCTGTCTGCATTCACAGATATTGCCATGGAGTCAGGTCAGTAGCCTTTGTAGATCAGCGTGGAAAACAGATCTTTGTGATTTGTTTCCTTACTATTCAAATATTTCTTTTTAAAAGAGCAGATTTGTGTTTTGTCTTTCAGCCTGAAACTATTTAGTTATCACATTCATGGGAAGATGCTTTCTCCTGCTCAGTTATGGTTGCCCTCCCAGTGGAAACTGTAGCCCTGCCCATAGCCTAGATGGATGGACACAGAGGAAATGGACCCTGCAGGTCCCTGTGGTGGGAAAGTGGGAGAAATCCCCTTTTGTTGTTAAGTGAGACACAGTAGTACAACAACATAAAACAGCAAAGGACTGATCTTTTGAGCCTGAACTGCCCGCCTTGAATTTATTCAGTTTGCCCTTGAACCAAGGAGACTAGGGACAGAAGAACCTGAGCATCTGGGGACCTAGTGAGGGACAGGCCCCTTTACCTACGTCCTGACTTGTATATCTCATTGAATGCTTTAGATTTGAGGATTCACATATCATAGTGACAGATTCTGGACAACACTTGCCTGGGGACCACTAGATGCAGAATCTAAGAGAACAGGGGATTAGGTAATTTGGCACCCTGAACAGGATACACTGTGCAAAGTCCCAGGCCTCTATTGCTGCCCTCAGTACTAGGAGAAAGTTGCATAGGGCTTTGGACTCACTGCTGGGAGCCCCAGTTTTCTCATTTGCCCAATGAGGGAGTTTGTAAGGCAGCTCTATGGTCATACTGGCTCTCAGCATCTCTAGTTAGTCAGAGAAGTGTCTCAACCACAGAAAGAATTTTCATAGAAACCTTGATGCTTGTCCACTAGAGAACAGCATCCACATTCGTGACTAAATAGTTTACCACACTTCAGTCATGCTGATTTTTATGTGAAATCTAGTATCTCCATCCCTGTTTCCCAAACCTCTCAAAATGAAATTTCTGAAAATTTTGGAGAAAATTCTTTCTTGTTTTCTGTGGATACTTTAAAAACATTTTCTTGCTATGTAGGTATGTAATGAAATATCGCTGAGTTTGAAATGAGAAAGAAATTCTGCTGCATTTGAAAACACAGATCAACCTTGAAGACTGTGCTCAGTAAACAATGCCATTCACAGAAAGACAAATGCTGCTTGACCTCACTTATATGTGAATCCTAAACTGGTAGAATTCAAAGCAGTAGAGAGTGGAGTGGTGGCCACCAGCTGCTGGAGTGGGCAGAAGGGAATAATGTCAGTGGGCTAAAACTTGGAGTTATAAGATAAATATGTTCCAGAGAACTAATGCATAGCACGATGACTTCAGTTAATAATAGAGTAAGGTACACTTGAAATTTGCTAGGGGAGTAAATTTCAAGTGTTCTCAGCACAGATGCATACACAAAGGTAACTATGTGAGGTGACAGATGTATTAATTAACTCAATTGTGAGATATATATATATATATATATATACACACACACACACACACATATGTCACACTGTACAATTTGAATGTCTACAAATTTATTTGTTAATCATACCTCGATAAAGCTAAAAAATGAAAGCAAATAATAATAATAATAAACAACTAAAAGTGATGTCTTAGAATACCAGTAGAAGAATATGAAGAGGTTTTGTGGAGGGGAATGAGAATCCTGATGGAGTAGCCCCAAGGAAGTACAGCCAGAAGGTTTTGGTGAAACTCTAGCGAGGGAATCTTGTTGTTCATTTTTAACTAGGACTAATTTCTCTGTTTCCCTCCTGTTTCTCTTGGAGCGATTCTGCTGCATCGGCCAGAGCTGTGGAGATTCTGGGGGAGCTCCTGTAGGCATCTAGTGTCAGGAAGACATCAAAGGAGAGCCGTTACTGAGGAAGCAGCCAACAGATGCTGCTTCACGCGCCCTTTGCCAAGAGTCTCAGAGCTGGGAGTCTCTGGGGCCAATTTAAAAGCAAGTTCCTGAGGAAAGAAGCCGGAAAGTTCTCTGAAAACAGTAGTGGGAGCTAATCTCTAATAAAACAAAACTCGACCATTCATCTGGAAAGATTTCATACATCAAATACAAGTTAAATAAAAAAGACAATTTGATTAGCTGATGCTGATTTCTTTTTTAATATCGACTTTGAAAAGGGTTCACAGCCATAAAAAGGCCAAGTGCTGACTTGAAAGCTTTAGACGCTAAAGATAGATCTAACAATGCATTTACAAGGGTGTAGCATGTAATAAACATGTTTGTAAAAATAAAATGAATGAATGCTCATGAATCTTAAGTGCCAAATAAAGAAAAATAGAACATAAAAGAAATAATAAATTCAAGGCCGCCGTTCTAACACTATGTAATATGTATGTACAGCTTTTCACATGCACATAGCTGGCCCATTGAAGAAGAGTTCAGAACCCTCTCTGGCCTGGTTTCTGGAGGGTCTGCTGACCTGTTCTGTCTCCATGCTTTGTCTGAGGTCCTACAGCTGGATGCAGTCCCACAGCTTGGCATTTTGAACAACTACACCAAAATGTAGACATGGCTGGACTTGCACAGACTTCAAGGCCCAATCAGAATGGATCTACTCTGCAAAGGTACTGACTTTCATTCATTTTGAGTACAGAAACTGAGCACTGACTAAGTTCTTTGGAGCTGCTGAAGATGCTGGAGGTGTGGGGTATGAGAGTAAACATCTTCATCCTCCTATGGAGATTATTGTAGAGAAGGAGGTCAAGGAAAAGCAAGCAGAAAATCAGGCAGGCAGAAAGCACAATCATGAAAAGTACCCTGAGTCTAGGAGACAGTAATTGTGATATTCCAGTGTAAGGCATAAAATTACACCTAAAGAGAAATATTTGGCTTGCTGTGTGTTTTTAAAACCAATAGCCTTGCTCAAAAATTCAATATTTAGACCACGAGAAAGTGGAAGAAATCAGGTGATTGAATGATCAACTGGCCTACTACTAGGATTGAAAGCTGAGAGAAGAAGTCAATTGAGGAGAAGTCAGGAAATGGAGATGATAAATATGTGCAGGACGTATGTGTGCAAATTTCCAGTAGGGCAGGACTCTAGATAGCATGGGAATGCAGAGAGCCCTGTGTAACACCATGTGATCCAGCGTGGCACTCAGGGAGGGTGTGAGGACAGAGATAAGAAAGGCACTTCACTGGAAGTCAAGCCTGGGAAGAGAACCGAGAAACTAAGGAAGAGCCAGACAAGTTGGAGAGACTTTCAAAGAGTTGAAAGTATTTCAAGAGGGAGGGATGGGCCAACTGAACAAATTCTTGCTGATAGGTCAAGTAAACTCAAAAAAGAGAAGCAACCCTTGAGTTTGGGATAATGGTGCCACTGGCTGTTGGCTGGTCAGAGCAGTTTCCATGGGGACATGAAGAGAGCAGCCCATTGGAGGACACGTACGAAGGTGAGGAACTGAAGGAGATCTGCAGAGACAGTTCCCTGAGAGGTGACAGTTTAAGGGGAGATGGCACTTGATAGAAGATGCCTAAGCAGGGGGAGAAAGGAAGTTTTCTGTTTTGTTTTAATAATCCATGATAGTAAGTGGTGTTAACTTGCACACGGTAATGGTGGAGGGGAGGGAAAAGAGAGATTGATTCATTATGTAAAAGTGAAAAGAAAGATTTTAGGAAAATTCTTTAGAAAGCAAAAAAGGATGGTTTAGGATTCTGTCTTGTCAATTTTCTGTTGCTAATAACACAGTACTGCAGACTGGGTAAGTTACAAAGAAAGAGCTTTATTTTGGCTCATGGTTCTGGTCCAAGGATTCAGGGACATGTCTGGTGATGGTCTTCTTGTTTTTAGAGTCTTGAAGTAGTGCAGGACAAGAGATAGGAAGAGAAGGGCCTAGCCAAAATGGCTTTTAAGGCTGGTATTTTCTTGAGGTAAATCATTAATTCATTTATGGCTTGAGTGGGTCAAATCTATTCATAAGGACAGAATTTTAATCACTCTTTATTTTTTAATTATTTTTATTCTAATTTGTTTTATATGACAGCAGAATGCATTACAATTCATGTTACATATACAGAGCACAATTTTTCTTATCTCTGGTTGTAAACTTCTTAATGGTCCTAAATCATCCTGCTTCTTAACATCTCATTATGTAAGGGGCTTTCAATATGAGTGTTGAGAGAGCAAACCAGGTTAAAATTATAGCAGATTCAGGACCCATCTGAAGCATTTGATCTTTGGTTAAAAAAAAAAAGGGCCATTGCATCCACAATAAAAAAGAGGTAGATAAAAGTGGAGGTATGCATTGGGCTTATACTTTCTGTGTTGGGAAAACCAAGGATATTCCTAAACACATTTTTCCATTTTCTCAATGAGTGAGGCAGGTTTTTCAGTTGAGTATGTGCATGTGTATTGAGAGTGATTCATTTTTAAAAAAATGTTTATATTTTAGTTGTAGTTGGACACAATACCTTTATTTCACTTGTTTATTTTTTTATGTGGTGCTGAGGATTGAAACCAGGGTCTCCCATGTGTGAATCGAGAGCTCTACCGCTGAGCCACAACCCCAGCCCTCGGGAGTGATTCATTTTTAAACATCCAGGAGACAGAAAAACATATGGAGTCATTTCTGAGAGAATACATAGCAATTGATGTGGGAAAATGCAGGTGAAGGTATATGAGCCCATCTAAGAGTGGATCAGGGGAACTGCAAGTTTCCTTGTGGCTATTCCACTGATGAATGACAAACATGGGGAGGGGTAGATGAGAGGATGACCAAAGCTGGTATTGTCAGGAGAAGGCAGTAAGAGGGAAAAGTGGCAGGGAGTGAAGGCTAATAATGTATTAACTAGGATTACCGAGCTCTAAATCACAAAGACCAATACCACAGTGGCTTGAACAAGGTTGCAAGTTTCTTTTGCAGGAGGTAGGTGACCTGGGCACAGTAGGATAGCTCACTTAGTTTAATGTGGTCCTGGGACACTCTGACTTTGCCATCCTTGGGTTGCAGCATTACCTGCCTGGTCTGAAGAGGCAACTAGGGCACCAGTCCTTATAGTCATATTACAAATAGCAGGATGAGAAAAGATAACACACATTAAGGAATACTCCTAGAAGCTGCCACATGACAATTCCCTTCACACTGCATGCTTTCAACTTCATTATAGAAGTCATCTGAATAGTCATTTGTCAAGATGAAACGAGGAGGCCTTATTTCTGTGGAATATCAGGGGACAGAATGCAAAGGGGAAATTATCCATCCATCTCCCTAGGAGGATGACAGTTGATGAGGATGATGTGTGAGGCCAATAGGTTGAAGCATCTATAACTTCAGATATTTTCTGTGCAAGAGCCTAGAAGGAGCAGACTATTGTGGACTGCCTGGGGCCTATGGAGTTGACACTCTGATAGCAGTGTGTGAGTCACAGAAGAGAAGTTATTAGAAGGAAAGAGGCCCACAGACTTTGACAGGGCTTGCTGTGAGCCCAGGAAAGTGAGTGTAGGAGGAACCCTTTCCTCAAAGCTCCTACTAGTTTCTACAATAGAAGGAATTTGGGATTCATCTCTGTTAACATTTAACTGAAAACTAAAGAAGAAACTTTAATTATGTATTCAATCATTTGCTCAGCAGACATTTATTGACTCCTAAACATTATGTTAATCCCTAGAAATCAGTTAAAGTGAGGCTCTTCACCTCTGCTTCTTATGAGAGATCACTAGTTAAACAGATGATTTCAACCTGGCTCTCCAGCCAGTAGTCAAAGCTGTTGTTTACAGTAGTTGCCATAACAACTGATTTTAAAGCTAAACAGCTAGACAATTTCTCTAGATAGCTGAAGGAAAACCATAAACAAATGTGTCTAACTCTCCCAAATGGCCCATTACTTTTATTAACAGACTGAGACACCTGGATGTCCTTGTGCCTTGGTGACAGGGTTGCTGGTGGTTTTCGTGAGTGTCTGACTCTGAGTCATGGGACATAACAGATGGATATGTGGTTTCCATTTGACAATTGATTTGTGTGTTCCTTTACTCACTGCAGAGCTTTTAAGCTGGTGCCTAATTTAGGTTAAAGTTTCCGAACAGCTCTCTACTGCAAAAGGGCCTCTCATCTCTGAACAGATGTCTATGGCCATGTGCTTCTCTGATTAACATCAAACTTTAGGGTAACTTTGGGCAAGGTTTCTTCTGTATTTATTTATGAGATTTATGCTAAGCCTCTATGACCATTGTAGCTCCTAATTCGGGAGGCTGGGGGAGGGAAGCATATCAACAAAACCAGTCACTGAAGAATGGAAATGCAGCCAATTAAAATTAAGTTGCTTGATTTCTACAGTGGCTGCAAACCAATTTGACCAGATTTTTGTTTTATTTTGTCTGAGTTGGTTCTACTTGGAGGACATCAATTTCCACATTGTGTAGGCCCTTTTAAAAAGGCATGTCATATGGGTTAGTTAATTTAGAAGGTTACAAAACAGACTGTTAGAATGGAATAGAGTCAAAATTGATATAACTCATTAAAGCATGGATTGCTCTGTCATTGACTAAGTTAAAATAAAATTAAAAATGTCAGAGAATACAGCTGCAATATGGATTAGAGAGGTTCTGTAAAATCATGTGTGCATCCACATTCTAGTCAGTTAAGGGTTGGGATGTAGACTGTGAAGGAGTGATTATATATGATCTTTGTGTTTATGTTTTATATAATACCTTAGAGGTCCATCTTTTCTTCTTCCATCCTTCCTTCCTTCCTTCTATTATGAGTGAAAGTCAGAAAAGAAGATTAAAATATTTCATTGCAGACTAAATTTCAGCTGTTATATAAGGCAGTGTGGGAAAATTATTATGACCTTTTCATCTCAAGATTCTAAAGAAGCTTTGTAATTTTTGGAAGTAGAGCTTCAAGTAAACTTACTTTCATTTAATCAGAAAGAAAAAAAAATTATAAACTTCAAAGCTTTTGATTACTCAGTCTTGGGTTCTACCACCCTTGCAGAACACTAAGCTTTTATTTTAAAAATAATTTTATGACCATATCCCCTCTCCCACAAATAACATAAAATTTTATTTTCACTTGTTAAATAAAATTTAACAACCTGCAAAGTGAACTGGAATAGAGATTGAATTGGGAATGAA